TATATATATATATATATATTCTGGCTTCATTTTTTTTTTCTTCGATACCTATGACAGGATGTATCGCTTCATTCCACCATGCTGCAGGACCGCTCTAACACGCGTGGTTTCACACACTTCCGAGGCTGCAGCGAAAAGTGAGGGCGTTCCTCAACAAGGGAGGCGGAAGGCAATGCCTCGTCGCCATCGCAAACTACACTGGCTAACGCTACGTGAAGAAGGTGAAGAGAAAATTCGTGATTTTTTGCCTCCCAAGCCTGTAGCTCCAGCGGGGTGGAATCTCAAACACAAAGTAGGTAGCAATCGGTTCGATCTGCACAAAACGGTAGAAATCCGGGATTGTGGCAAAGAGGATTTACATGTTGTGGCTTTAATGGAGATTAAGGAATACGAAGGGACATATCGTATGGACAACGGCGAACGTGAGGAACAAGAATACCTGTTCTTTACATTGTTTCTTCAGAAACATCGATCTCAAGGGGCGTTGGAATTTGGTTTGACATCTATAGACATGGAGTTGGTGATGGATTCGCTAGCAATTCACGGTAACGAGGAAGAATTGGAGGATTCTCGTGGTGCGCTTTCACAGACAAAAGCTTCAGTAGATCTATTTAATAAAAACAGAAGCAGTCTTGGCTATAGACGTCGTAGAGATGGGCGTTATCGTGGACCGATGTTAAGCGAGTTGGACGATGACTTCTCTGACGAAATTCTGGATTACCTCGATGAGCGGGGTGTAAATAACGGATTTGCAGAGTACATGATGTCGCAAGCACATTACTTCGAGCAAGAAGAGTATCTTAATTGGTTGCGACTTTTGCGACAATTTGCCCAGTAGTGCTGCTATCCTGATTTCATTTGTATCATATGAAGTGAAGAATAGCGAATGTGACAGTAGGTTTGTATATCGGATTTATTGTTGCTGATAAGGACCTTACACCCCCCCCCCCCNAAAAAAAAAAAAAAGTTACAACGGAGAAACATATCTATTCCTTGACCGTTTTTTCTTCTCGCAGAAGGCTGCAGAAGATTTAAGGAGCCTAAACATGCTTTCGCGCAGTCGCTGTTGTGCCAGTTACCAAAGGGGTGGCTGGCGTCCCGGGACGAAACACCAAAAACACATGACTATGAATCCGACGTTGTATTTATATAGGTTTCCAGGACCACATGGACCGGGCCCGTATACAATGAAATACTGGTGGACGCTAGGCACTTTCCCTACTGGGATGGAAACACCGTTCCGTTTGCAAGAATTTTTGGCAACCTACCAGAAAGAACACGTACCGATTGAGGTGGAAGAGTGGCTTCAGTGCTTTGTAAAGGATCCAGTGGAGGAGCTCACGAATGCTTCCAAAGAGTTGCTTGATGCAGTTGAGGCGTGCCCCGAAATTGAATTAACACGCGGGTACAAGGCACTACAACCGAGTATAGTCCCTTTACGTAAGGCGATGGGGAAATTTGAGAAGCAGTTGGGGGTTTCAATGTCCCCTGTAGGTGTTCGTGCGGTCGTGTCTAGCTCTTTACTGAAAGAACGATTTCTCGATGACCTCTATGAGTACAAAGAAATACTCGAGAGGGAAGGGAGTACCCCTCACCGTCGGTTGGCGAGGAAAAGTTTTGAGAATATACTCCCAGACGGGGGCGAAGGGGAATTATACGTGACTGACAGAAAGACCGATGAGGTTGGAAAAGAGTTAGGCGATTTTGTAGGAGCCGTGGCCTCTCCACCGAGTACAACAGCTGCTGACGAAAGGAAATTAATTCATTTGCTTACAACGGTTTCAGAAGGGTGTGTTAGTTCTGGGCATTATAATGATGCGACATCAATGTTATCTAATGCGTTGATGTTTTGCCATGATTCTGACGCACAGGCTGTTACCCACGCAAATTTAGCAATCAGCTGTCTGTTAAATGGTGAATTTAAACAGGCGGAATATAATGGGAGGGAAGCAGCACTTCTTCAACCCAAGGCAAAACCTGTTTCTAAAGCTGGAGCAAGGGGTTACGCGGTGTGGGCTACTGCTGTGGCATATCAAGACGACCTTGACGAGGCTGAATCAATCGTGCGCAATGCGCTTTGTATACATGAGGGTAATGAGCAACTTAGTCAATTGGCTGGCCAACTGCGTGAGTTGCGTTCTGCACAATCATCTGTTTCTTCAAGTGACGAAGTCCCTTCTCTTCTTCGAGGAAGTAGATCCCAGCTGCCGTCTCAACGATCGCGAGCCCTTGCCAACGGTAGTGGCAAGACTTTTGATAACGAATTCGATTGGATCGTGTTTAAGAATAAGCTCTATCCAAGCAAAATGAACCCAACTACAAATGAAATGGGGTCTGTATTCCGCCGTGTGGGTGACTTGGGGTCGTTTATCTCTACCTCCAGGTCTATGGAACGATTGTAACATTATGACGATGAAAAAAATAACAAAAGAAAAACAAAATCAAAGCAAACCCAAAGAAAATTCAAAATATTCCGTTTTCGACGCCAAATCAAGTGATAAGGGTTACATGATGACCTTACTGCCAGTGACACCTAATGGTTACTTTTTTTTTGCCTTTGCTTCTGTTGCTCATGCCTTTGCAGTAGGTGCATATTTCTCATTTTTCGTACATTCAGAATCATGCCTGCTTCCCCAGCTGAAGCTTTCGAAAGGCGCCACCTGAAGCGCAACGACGGGGACAAAGTCCTGCCACCGTCGATGGCGCTTGTCGCCGCTCTCGAAGCCGGATACCGGTTTAAACTTTCTTTTGTCGAGGAAGCTGCTGCTTCCGCCAAGTACCCTGGCCTCTTGACAATGGACGAGTTCATCTCTCTCTGTGAGCGAAACCCTGACAGCTCTCTCGACGCAGAAGAAATGGCAAAGCATGTTTCTGTCCTTGCACCGGGCGGTTTTGTCACTCGCGCCTCTCTTCATGAAGCAGCGGCAAAGGCTGGTTCCAGCGAAGATTCATTGAACACGGACGAAATTGACGCCCTTTTCAATGCTCTAGACGAGGAAAACACCGGCTCTATTTCCGCTGAAAGACTCATGGAGGTAATCAATGGTAAACAGGGGAAGGAGATGCTGTACAAGCAGCGGAAGGAGTATTCAAAGGCAAAGATTGCCGCGGAGGAGCTTGCCGCAGAGAAGGAGCGCGCGGCCGAGAGGGAACGCGCAGCCAAGGAGGCCGCCGCCGCCGCTGCTGCCGCCGCCAAACCTGCAACCCCGAAGCCTCCTCAGAACGCTGCTCCTGAGAATAAGGAGCAGAAGAAGGCAATGTGTGGATGTTAAAAAGAAGAAGGAATCAAAGAAAATGGTTCACAGTACCCATCACAGCAACTAACAAGAAGGGACGCACGCTTTGCGGGGAGAAAGGCGCTTACTTTCTTTTCGATTGGGTCAAAAACAGAGAAGACTAACATTCAATTCTCTTACTTATGTTTGTCTTGACGGCAACTAGAGAATTAAGAAAAGAAAAATATGGGTATGGTCGGTCAAGAATTATAGCATCTTCATCAGCAAAATACAGCCGTTTGTACCTTTTTTGTTTCTCCCCGGCTGTAGAGTTGAATGATGATTGGGTTCTTGGTTTTTCCTTTCTGTCATCTTTCTAGGTGATCCTGTTTGTGGGGAAAGTCTTACCAGTCTTTGCTATTTTGGGTTCTTCTATTTGAGTTAGTTGTGCACATAGTGACAGCGGAATCGAACTCTGTTCGTGACCGCACATGATGCGATGGACACGTTTGCTGCAGGGTGCTCACAGAGGTGCACTGCGCGCTTTGATACCTTATCCACATAATGAGATGAATCCCGTCGTTTTTTTGGACATCACTGTTGAGGGAGATGCACTGGGTCGGGTAACTATGGAGTTATTCCATGACACTGTACCCAAAACCACGGAAAACTTTCGTTCGCTTTGCACTGGTGAACGCGGTAGTGGCCAATGCCCCTTGTTCTACAAAGGGATTCCATTCCACCGAATTATTCCTGGATTTATCGTGCAGGGTGGTGACATATTGGCAAAAGACGGTCGTGGCAATGTTAGTGTGTTTGGGTATCCTTTTCCAGACGAGAGCTTCGAGGGAAAGGCGGGAAAACATCTTCCTGGTACTGTGGCTATGGCTCATAGTGGACCCAATCAAAATGGTTCTCAGTTCTTCTTCAATTTAGGGCGGAATGAACATTTGGATAAAAAGTTTGTTGTCTGTGGCCAAGTACTAGAAGGGTGGGATGTTGTTGGACGAGTAGCTGCATTGTGTGGTTCACGCTGTGGGACACCAGTGAGCCGCGCGTGGATTACGGATTGCGGACAGAGTGGAGGCGCAATGTTTGCAGAGACAGAAGAGGCTCTGTCTGGAGAGCGGGCTTTACACGCAATGCCTGGGAAAGAGGTTCTTGACCTTATTTCTCCACGGTATTAGTTCTGATTGTGTTTAAATTTTTTTTGTTCTGTCAAACACTTCTTGTTTTTTCTTTTTCTTTTTTCTGCTCGTTTCTCGGGCCCGGATGGCTCTCTTATCTCTGCTGAGGGCACTTTATTATTATTTACTGGTGCTTTTTTTTTGCTTTTGGTTCTCTCGCACTTTTCAAGATCCTATCTTCAGACGAAGTGCAAATGACCACGAGAGCTACTCGAGTTGAAAGGAGACTGAGGGGGCCCCGGGTCAATGTTAGGGGCGCCGAGGTGGCTGTGGTTAGGCCGCGGGAGTTCAGTAGACACGTCGTGAATAAGGATGTCAGTTTTTTTATGCTCCTTCTTGCTGCTGATGCGGTGACAGAGCACCGAAGGGATGAGAGCGATATGTTGAGTACCGAGCGTCTCGCCTTCGAAATGGGCCTCGTGAATATGGGCTGCGCACCACTCGGTTCACCAGAGATCCCAAAGAACCTGTCGGATGTAGACGGCAGCGCATCCTCTGCGGGAGACTCTGACAGCGTTGCTGACAGGACCCACAACGCTGCCAGTATCGTTGAAGACGAAGAAAAATTTCATTCCCGGGACGTCTTCCGTGATGACATCTTGCTCCGCGTGATGGGATTTCTGCCGTGGCAGTGTGTGCTGCATATTCGTGGGGTGAACAAGATTTTCCTGCGACACTCACTTACATTTGTGACAGTATGCCGCCCAGTGCACAATTCCACCCCCGCCATTTTCATTCCATGCCATGATGATCTTCTGACGAATGAAAAGGCAGTGGAGGCAGAGTTGGCCACCGCGCGTGGGCCGTGGATATGTTCCCAGTGCGGAATGCCAACAGATTCTCGCACAACGTGCCACAAACCATGTGGTCAATTCCAACGCCCAAGCGGGCAACGCATGTTCCTTGGCCAGCTTCGCCGAGATGGCACGGTGCCCATGGTCAAATGGCTCCTGTCGACAGTTCTACAGGTGCCCCCTGGTGCTCTCATGTCGGTGGAAAATCACCGTAATAAGACCTCTAATAGGGGGAAAGGGTGTGCGTGGGTGACGCTGTGTGACGCTTCGGTGCCAAACCTCCTTGATTACCACCACCGCATCTTCTACGACGCTGTGCGTGGAGTGGAGGGTGTTTGGGTGGTGCCGCCGAAGGGCCGCGAAGCGTTGGCCGCTGTTGCCACGGCGCGTGGCGCGATGTCGGACCGGCCGAAACACATGCCACGCAATACCCTGGTGGTGGAGATGCCACTGTCGGTGCTGCCACCAGCCCCACCGCCACCGCGACCCGTCGCTTCCGTGGACAGGACGTGTGTGTCCCCACCACCCCCCTACGAAATATCTTTGCTTACATCCATGCACGGCTACAAAAAACAGCATGGACCATGGCGCTACGACCCCTACTCTTTGCGTGTGGCGGCATCACCGCTTTTTCAGCACTAAATTTTTTTGGGGGGTTTTATTATACTTTTTCCATTTCCTTTGCCAGTGAGCTCCCCCCTCAAAAAAAAATGCTTTTTGCCAAGGAGTTGCCCCATTCCAAAATGAATGATGAAAATGGTGGATATTGATCAAAGCTATCTAGCTTAATTAGTATCTCCACCTGCGTGCTACCACAACAGGTGCACTGTGGTGTTGTGGGGTGAAGAGGGATGGGATGGGGGAAAGCATAAGAAATGTATGTATATACATATACATTTGTAAGGAAGAGTGTACAAAAGATGGAAATAAAATAACTAGGCGAGTCTACTTGAGTCCTCTATGAGAAACCATACATCGTTAATTGCAACAGAGAATGACGCAGGTGAGTCTGTGTCGGAGCGACGGGCGACAAATCGTCGTTGTCATTGAAGGAATGTCATTTGTGGTTTGTTGTATAAGAGAGGTAACACAGACACGAGAA